CTTATCATTTTTATTTTCATTTTATTGCATATTTGTAGTCCATACAGTAAAAATAGCTTTGTAATTACAGTATATTTTTTAATCCACTCAGTCATATAATTATTATTGAATATCTTAATATTTTTAATATTTGATCATCTTAATTTTCTTTTTTTTATAATGTTTTTATACAATTTTGACCCAACTTATCATTTTTATTTTCATTTTATTGCATATTTGTAGTCCATACTACAGTAAAAATAGCTTTGTAATTACAGTATATTTTTTAATCCACTCAGTCATGATGTTTTCATACAATTAAATTTTAGAATAATTAGCATCAAAAATTTTTTTAAATGAAAGAATATTATTAAATTAATAAATACATAAATATATATATATATTTGGGTTGAAATAGAAAATTACATAAATTAAAAGTTAAGTTTTACGCAACAGTTGTCTGAATCACTCAAGTTTTGGCCCTCTCATGGGCAAACTTAGAATTACGAAATGATAAAACCGAATCCAAAGAACAAAAATGTGAGAAGATCTAATCATGATCATGCCAATAAATTAAGCAACTCAATAATAATTTTAAAGGTGTTCAATAAAAATTTAAAAGATAATTATTTGAAAATGAATTTTTTTTTATAAATTTAAATTTTGTTAAAGAAAAATTTAAAAATTAAATTTTAAATGTGTTTTTAAGTAAATTTTAAAAAGTTTTAATGTATAATTTTTGTAGCACTTGTTTAAAGGTCACTTTAAAAAATAATTTATTTAGTTGATTGCACTTTTAAATATTAGATCATTATTATGGAGATGATAGTCGGAACCAAAATAAAGTTATTTTCTAGATAAAAGCTTTCTACTAGGGAAACTCTAATTTTAAAAAACCAGAAAGTGCTTCCACTCTTGTTATCTCTATTATAAGAAGAACAACTTTGAAATCTCAATGACTCATATAAATAAATAATTTGAAGAACATTTGCAAGCTTGTAGCGTTTTCACTAGTTTGTCACAACCAGTCAAATATTTTTGTTCTATTTAAAATGAATAATGATGAGGAAGACGAAAATAAGGGACGAATTCCGAGGACGAAAATGAGGTGGCATGCCACCTCAGCATATATTTTAATAAATATTAAAAAAGATACACATATTCATCTCCTTCACTCATTCTCTCTATTTTTTCTGCAATTTTTTTTGTGTTACCGCTTCATCCAAATCCAAGCTTTCTCTTTCAAATCTTCATCATTTGTCTCTATTTTTCTCATCCCCTTGCAAAGGCTAAGTATAGATTTAGGGTTTCTCCTAAATAGGGTTCAATTTTACCAAATGGTTAGGGTTTAGTTTTTTTTTTCTTTTCTTTTCTTTTCCTTTTTTGAAAATTTTAAAACGACGGCTATGGGTTTCGATTGCCAAGATGGTTTAAGCCTGGTCCTTGAGTTTGGAGAGTTGGCGGCGATTTTATGGTTTCCGAGGGGCAGAGCTCCGGAAACTAGTGGATCGATCTGTCGCTCGAGAAAAAGGAAACCGGCGAGGTGCGGGCGATGCAACAACCGTCACAGCAACAACAGCAGGTTAAGAAAAGCAGGCAAGGGCCCAGGTCAAGGAGCTCGCAGTATAGAGGAGTTACTTTCTATATGAGATTTGGAAAAAAAAAACCCAAAAAGGGGGCAGAAGATAAACGGGAAAATAGAACTTAATTTAAATTTTTTAAAATTAATATATTACCAACGTGGCTTACCACGTCATTAGTCCCAAAAATTCGTCCCTTTTATTCGTCCTATGTATCATTGTCCATTTAAAATTACTATAAAATGAGCCGATTGCAGTTTATTTAAATCAGTTGAAAGTTCTTGTTCTATTTAAAGTTACTATAAGGTGAATCTCATTCTATTTAAAGTTACTATAAGATGAGTTTATCACATTCCATTTGATTTAATTAAATGTCCTCATTCTATTTGTATTAAATGGGAAATTAAGTGCATAAAATTCTCTTTAAAATATGAATGATGCTATAAAGACAACATTTTTATATTATTTTTTCATATAATTTTCACATATTATTAAATAAATAAATGTATTCAATATTACGTGTCTCATATAAATTAAAAAAAATTAATCATTTAAATGATACATCTAATTGTTACAAAATACGATACAAAAAATTTATTTTAAAATCATTTTCCCTAGAATATCTAATTCTATGGCTTTTAAAGTTTAAATTAATTAAGTGGGCTGAAATTTATTATAAAACTACCCAAAAATACATTAAAAAAATGAAAAAAAAGTAATATAATTTTTTTCCTATCTTAGGCCTTGTGACCATCAATTAATGGTTTAAATTATATAATAGTGCAATTTAAATTATATAATTACAAAGCTATTTTTACAATAGTACTGACTACAAATATGTAATAAAATTAAAATAAAAATGATAATAAATTGGATAAAAATTGTATAAAAACATTAGAAAGAAAGGAAAATTAAGATGTCTTAATATTAAAAATATCAAAATATTCAATAATAGTTATATAATAAATTTAATAAAATTATGATTTATAT